GCTTGATTATGAAAAGCCCTTCCAGAGTTAAGCAGCAGCTGAACAGACTTCAATACCAAAAGGGACATGTAAGCACCTATGCCCTTTGCTGAATCTAATTTTGCTTGTTATGTTACAAGAGAGTTTAACAACTGCCCATCTTCCTCCTTTTTCTGTCATATTCACTCTGATAAAGTGCCAAATTGGTTGACTGACTCCAAGTACCTCTAACTAAAGTTCACAACACAGTGGGATATTGGCAATTGCAAGCCACATGTTCCATGTCAACGGGAGCTCTGTTGGATGTGGGCTGTGGTAACCCCATGTCCAGCAAGGGAAACTCACCCTGGACAACTTGATGGGTGGTTGGTGCAAAGCCATGTGCTGTGCTGTGGTTCTTTTCCAAAGGGCAAGTGAACTACTGCAGTGGGAGTGAGGATGGTATTGCTTCTGTGGGTGAGGCTACCTGAGGGAAAAGCGCCTAGTTCAGCTGGAGGCATAAGGATCCATGTCAACTCCAAATAACAGCTTACATCATTAACCATTTATTTTTCTGATAAATCCATGATTGATGAAATATTTGTTCATGTTTGGGCACTACTTGAAGCACTCTTTGGTTTCCCCGGTTACCTGCTCCCATGAACCATGACTCATGATCATACAGCGAGGGAAATGAAGGGAAATGCTTTACTACATCCGGCTTTGCAGCAACAAATGTCATCTTGTTATTACTAGTGTGACCCAAGGCAGGAATATTGCCACGCAGGGACACAGTGTGGCTGCCAGACCAGTGATACTGGGTGGTGGAGCCAGGTTGCTGCTCCCAGCGCATACATACCAACCCATCCTGCTGGAGCCTTGGTTCTGAATCCCACAGGCTGCTGACCCCACTGGGGGCGCCAGTGCCAGCAGGCAGGGGTGCTGGGTGCCTCCAAAAGCCTGAAAAATATACATCTTGCTTTCCATTTTTGACCCTCACTGAAGACTTTGGTGGTCCCAGGCAGAACGCAGATAAAGACAGCAGTGAAAGGGCTGAGTGGCAACGCTACCCAAGGCTTGCTGGGCCGCACCATGCCAGCCCCAAGGATACAGGATTGCACTGACAGGGAAGGCAGAACTTTCCCTGAAAGCTAACTGAAAGTATTTTGAAGTCAGCAGGAGCTTTTGCCAAGGAGTTCAGTGAGCTCTGGGATGCATTAGTTCTAGAAATGACTTTGGTAAGGTTTCCTTGTAAAGTGACACAAGGACATACAACTAGGGTATTGGAATATAATTAAGAGAGAAAGAAGTTGGGATGGATATTGGGGAAAACCTTTTGTCAGTGAGATTTATTAGGAGGTACAGCAGTCTCCTGAGGGAAATAGTAGAAAGGCATTCACTTGGGATATTTAAAATTAGACTAATGAAAGTGCCAGCAAATATTCTCTGGGGAGCATGCTCACACTGACAGGCAAAATGAGCTCTGTGACCCTGTCCGTCGTCAGAGGGCTGCGTGTGATCACCAAGGCGACCTTGGCAAGGAGGCAAACTGGCTGCCGACTGCAGAGCCCCGGGCTTCCCTGCGGGAAGGGGAGCAGTGCAGGGAGCACTGCCAGCGCTGGAAATGATGGGCAGGGTCACACAGGAGACACTCAAATCTGTTTTATTAGAACAGCATCTCGGCACCTTCTTGCCAAATGATGGCAGGGAAGGCGGAGCACAGCTGGGGAGCAGGACTAGGGCAGGGGTGAGAGCAGCCACCTGTGCCCAGGACTGCACCTTGCTCCCAGCATGCTCTTCAGCTGGCTGTGCTTGCAGAGAAGTAAACCTGGCTGCAGCCTCACAGCCTGTTCAGCCACCTGCAAGAAGAGTTGTTCCACACTGAGAATTAACAATATCCTGCCTTTCCCTCATGTTCTCAAACCTGCCACTGCTCACCCTGTTTCCTATGGGCTGATGGTCTCCTTAGGAAGAGTCATCCTGTCATCCACCCCTCCACTTAGCAGTCGTGGCAGTAAGACTGGTAGGAAAGGCCTCCAAACCCAGGAATTTCTCAGCACTGTGGGTGACCCCACTGTTGTGAATTCAGTGCTGACACAAAAGAGTTGTAGTCCATGCTGATCACTGTGATTGGCCCTGAAACATTAACGTAAGCCCCACTTACTGTCTCAGATTGAGTTGGCATGTCCCACCCAATACCACAGTGGACTGCTACAACAATCTACAGTAATTTAACAAGGTAGTAAAGTAAAATGATTTAAACAAGCCATTTCTTTACAGAATCCATTAACTTTTCCCAGCTATTTATTTCTGATTTTTTTTTGCAAAAAAAAAAATAAATCGTAGTGTTATAAGCAGTCAAGCCTCATTGTCCTCTTATTAAGAGCTGACTGTCTCCATGAAAACACAGTTTCATGACTGTTGCTGTCCTGATTTGAGCAGCAGACGTAAACAGGGTCATCTCCAGCCATAGTGGGTGGATGTTTAGGTTATAGCGCTGAGGTTAAGAGTGAAAGCGTGTGACTAAGAGCAGAAAACAGAGGAGCCTTTGTATACATCAAGAGCCCTGAGGCAAAACACAGAGAAGGAGAATGCTGACACAGACTTTAATGGCGAAAGAAAAGAGTCCATTATGAACGTTACAGAGAACATAATTCATTTAAGAGAAATCAAGATTTAAAGGACTTACAGAGGGGGATGTGAATACTGACGTCAGCACGTCACGCCTGGTGGTTTGTTGTGGGACTCTGTACGTGCGGTACGGTACCACGCATCATGTCAGGTGGAAGGCGACTCACTGACAGAAATTATTGCCTGCCGTCGTGGTTTAAGCCCAACCGGTAACTCAGAACCCAATTGGAAACAGGTTTCTTTCTATTCAAGCCTTTCAACAGGAACCAGTGATGGGCACAATGAAGCAACTGCAGCTCTCACATTTTAACACCAATCTCCCAAAGCTGACAAAAATTGCTTTTGGGACACTTTTTCCTTCCCAAACCCCATCTCTATACAAACAGGAGGGGGAAAGGCGGAAATGGGGCTGGATTATTTCTGAATTACTCAGGTATGAGAGTACAAGGAGAAAGCTGGTTGGTAGAGCTGCTTCAAGCTTCCATAAACATTGCAGAGACTAAGGACTCGCACATTTACTGCACCATAAAACAATGTTATGAATGCTTGAAAAATATTCCCCAATCCATGTACTACAGTGGCTTCTAAACTTCAGCAGCCAGAGCCATGAAAACTGAGTGCTTTGTGCAGTAGCTTGCGCAATCAAAGAACTTTCTCGTCCTCAGAGTGCTTTATTATTTTTAACGAGACAGGCTGAGCACTTCTTGACAAACATATTTTCCTTGAAGCAGTAATCCTACTTAAACTTTTTACCTTGTCCCTACATCATACAGATAGGAAGTTAATAACAAAACTCATTTTCTTTCCCTTAAAGTGCTAGTCACGTTAGTACAGAAAGTGAGGGACAAGTTGTGATTGCCATGAAAGGGGCCATGGCTGGAAGTAAACTGAAAGTGCCCTGTTAGCATGCAGACTTAATATTTGAAGAAGAAAGCTTTTCCGAAGTACATTTTCTAGGATATCCAGTTTCTTTCAAAGTACAAAAAAAAAGAGAAGGTATTAATGTTTGTTGTAACAGGAATGTTCCAACTTGTAGTGTTTGGTACAGTCTACATTGCCATGGCCAGGTGACAAGACAGCAGGTCATGACAGAGCCCAGATAAATCCAGGAGATGTCTCAGAGGAAGGGAGGCCATCCATACATCTGTGCACTTGCCTTTGCTTTCAGCAAGGTGCAAGGCATCCTGCTGCTTTGGCAAATGGTTCTGGGGTAGCATTACAAATTGCTCACTTTTAAAAGCCGCCTTCTCTTTGATACAAGAATTATTAAAGCTTGTAAGAGTGAGAGTTTAATTAATGGTGAGAATTCAACCACACAAGAGTGAGGAAATTCAGAGCCAACCCTTCCATCTAGGTCAATCTCACTGCTGTGCCCTGGTATCAGTGTGTTACAACGGCCTCTTTCACGGTCACATGAGGCTGGCCAGGGGACACACTTCTCACTAGATCTAATACAATGAAAAGAAAAACTGTCTTTTTCCCCCTGTGGTCTTAGATGCACATGTGGCTTTTCATACCACACACATCATGTGTCCTTGGAATGAAAGGCCCTTTTGTAACATGCACACACCAGCCAAGGCAACTTAACATCGGGCAGGATTGTTAACTGGGTTCCCTGAAGCCTGCCATGAGCACTGCACTGGCAGCAACACACTGGAGGAGGGATGTGATTGAAGGAATTTGACCAGCTGTATTAAAATAATTCAGGATACACACATCACCATTTCTGTTCCACCTGGGTTCACTACCCTTACTTAATGGAGGTAGTTTTTCAGAGTAAAACTTAGGGAGAGGCCTGATGATTACCAAAACACATCTTGCTGTCACTTGGGATGGCTGAGACATTCTCATGTCTTGTGTTTGAGGGAGTCATTACCGCTTGACAAGCTCTCTCAAAGCCATAGCCACCTTCCTCCCCTGCCTTTACGTCAGAAGGCCAGCAAGAACCATATTTCCCTGGTAGGATTTCCAAGCAATGAGTCTTTATTCTCAAGGCCTGAATGCCTTTGATGCACTTGTGTAGACAGCAGGTAAACAGCCATCAATCAAAGGTTACACTCTGCAAATTTGGAGGATGCATCCCACATATGTCTTAAGAGATCTTCCTGATTTGAAGCAGAAAAGTTAACCGTGCAGCTCCAAGTAGCAGCAGTTCTCTCTCCAAGCATGGGAATATACCTCCTTGAAAGACTACTTTATAAATTAAATTATTCACAAGGAGAGCAGTCCAATCCAGAAATAAAACCTTGTCTTTGTTGCAGAGCCTGGTACAAGGGTGCACATGAAAGGATCTACCAGGTATTTTCAAAGCTGAACAGCCCTAATTTTATCACTGATTTGGGTAGCTTCAGAACAGGCTAGTTGTGTAAATGCCCTCCATCCCTTAAAAAACAAAGCCAAGAACACAGACAAAGAATTTAACAATTTTATTAAAAATTGTACCAGTTATTAGAAAAAAATTAGTATTACAGTATTAAAAAGCACCAAAGAAAGAAAGCACAAAGCAAATATACTGCACAGATACAAAAACAAAAGGAGCTCTGCCCAGTCACCATTGGTACAGGCAGGAGTCCTGGAGGCACACAACCAGGATAAACAAAATGCTACATTCTCACTGGGTCTCAGTCCATGGCAAAGAAGGTGTGTGCACTTCAGGACTAATCCAGACAGAAACCTCACAGGAGAGCATCGGGTTTACTTCTGCAGCAGGACAGTATCATATTCTGGTGAATATCAGAATTCATGGGGAAACCCTCCACTGAGGGAGTTTATTAAGTACATTGCAAATTCTAGCTCACCCTTTTTGAATTCCAGAGGAAGGACTCTGAAGTTTAAGGAAAGAAAAAAAAAGGTATCCCACAAAAGTAGAAAAGTTATGCAGGAAGGGGAGGGAGAAAACGTGAATGCAATTTCACAGTACTCTCAGCAGTGTATTTCACCTAGAAACATGGCAGACTGTACTACCAACCACTGAAGAGAACAGAAGAGATATATGACTAGTTTTACCAAAAACCCCCAACAGTCCAGATGCCCAAGACCAAATTTAGTGGCAGGAATTTCAAATGTACCCATAGGAAACAGACATACAAATCCCTTGGGCTGTTTTGAAATTCCCCTTTTACAAGCCTAACTTCTGACATTTATTTAAGGAGATACTGACAATGTTGTCTTTCCATCACATCAGTCTCTCCCCCTTTTTTCATCCATTTTTTCACTTTTAATATAGTCTGATCAAAGACAGAGCTGAGGAATCTGTGGCGATGCTCTCCTGAAGCTGTGTCCACAAATTGGGGAGACTCCTTTAGATTTAAGAATAACTTTAAACATGCAAAATTTCCATAATAGATTTTAAAAACAGCTTAAGAATCTACCCTTCCCACCCCTCCATTCCCCAAAGGCAGCAAAGAGTCTGAAGACAGAACTGAAACATGGCTTTAAAAACCAGCCCACAGACATTAGGTTTTGCTTCCCAGAAACCAACTTCCAGCATGGGATTCACAGGAAGAGACCCTCCTTTCTGTGGCTAAGGGGGAAGGTGAGGCACATGGAAGAAAGAAGGGGTAGGGGATGTCAGACTGCATTCAGTTTAAGAATACACATACACACACGTGCACACACACACACACACACGCACACACAGTTACATTCCAGTGCATTTGATGTGTTTGGTCTTTTCTGCTTTTCCTGGTGGAGAAGAACTGAGCTGTGTAACACCCGTGTGAACACATGCAAACCAAAGAAACAGAGACCACTGAAGTCTTTAGGAACTGTAAAAGATTGTCCTCGGACCTTTTACCAGTTCCTTGAGGTATTTCTTCTTGCTAAAACAATCAAAGGCAACAGGTAGGCAATTTTGCACATGATCACAAATGCCAGTTTGAAAGACAGACTCTTTTGAAGGACATTATTAAAAACCTTTGTTGTCAAATTGTGCTAATACTCAATAGTGCTTGGTCCATGTGCAGAGCTCCCGTAAGTATGAACAGGCATTCCATGGTCCTTTTATTCCTTATAATCCCGCAGTAAATACCACTGGTAAAACCTCCACGTATCTGCATTCTCATTTGCTCCTAGCACATATGCTGAGTGTTCTCCCTATTTTCCCTTTTAAAATATCATCAATAGCACACCATTCAGCATGTCACAGTCTTACCATTCCCTCCGCTTCAGCAGAGATATGGGTCAGGAACAGCAGCAGAAGGGTGGAATCCATGATAGGGTCACACTGCAATAGCTGCCCCAAGTAATCCTGTTTTTCTTAAAAAAGCCCCAACCCTTCTCCCTTCTCTACTAATGGGCAGAATCTGCAGTTTCCCAGAAGAGCCAAGCACCAAACTAAATGAAGTTCAACCTTGGGTACACCTGCAGTGACTGCTATAGAGCAGCTCCAGGACTATAGCAACCTCACATGCACACGTTGCCTATACGTTTACCCAGGCTTGAGAGGACAAAGTAAATGGCCAGTAGAAAGAAAGTCTTTGCAATCACCCTTTCTACATCAAGAAGGACTGTGTTCCTTGCCTCTATTCTCTTGTTGATACGCAGCTCCGAAGCAAAGGCCGCTAAGTTTCTTTCAGGACTTCTCTAACAAGAGTTGCCAACAAACATTTAAAAACAACCAGCTATTTAAACTGAGATATGTGATCAGTTATGCAGGAATTCAGTGCTACCAGGGATTATCAGCACCTTGGGAGTAGGCTGCAGTCCCACATACAGATCCAAAGGCAACCCTTTCCATCTGAATTCATCCTCTCCCCTGCCTTTGTTGTATCTTACTTAAGGCAGTTTGCAGCTATCCCTGGGCAGTCACTTTGTGATTACTGGCTCAGCTTTCAAGAATTGCAGGAAACAAAAATAAAACTAACTATTCCCTACTAGCACCAGGCTTGCTGGATCCAGGGATAGGCAGGTTACAAGATATTCAAACGGGTGGAAAGTTAGGATGAGATAGGAAGAACTCCGTCCCCTAGGGAAGAGAGCTGAGGTCTGAAGGTATTTTGGAGATCTGGGAACAGCAAGCAAGATACTTCAAGGCTGCTGGTACCATCAGCAGCAGCTCAAGCTCTTCTTCAGAACTGCTCCTTAAAAATAGGAATCGATTTTAGGAGAAAGATCGGACTTTCAAATTGTTAGGCTGTAGTTTTACAACACAGAGAGAAACAGTATCCCCTTCCTTTCACCAAGACAAACTAATATGTAAAAACCCCACCATACCCCTTCACTAACATGACTTAAAGCATGTTCCTTGAACTGTTTCCCCAAAGAATTGATGTATGTCTGTGGCCACACTGCAACAGCTGCTCTGCAGTAAAGATCTCCTGAGTGCATGATCAAGGAGCCTTACTAACATGGAATGGGTGACAAATACATGGGTGCTGTGCATCTGTGTATTCATTCATAAACATGTGAAATCTTACCACTATTTCCTCAAGTAGGTAAGTATGAAATAGCTGCTTGTCCCTAAGTGAATAACCACCCTGCCTCTCCAAATCTACATGAAACAAAATAAGACTTTTGGGTTGACAGAGCATATTTCCTTTCTCCAAGATATGCAGATATCGAATATAATTAAAATATATTATCAGTGGTTGTAAATCTCTGGCACCGGTAACCAGCACACATATTGCAGGAAGTCAGCCTTTGTCTAGCATTAGCTCTATGTCTCCAGTGAAGTACTGTTCAAGGAGATTTTAACTTGAGACCCTGGCATGACCAATTTTGGTAAGTCTGTTGTTACAGTGGGAAATACAGACTGGCAAAGATGTGTCTTTCCCAAAGCCCATTTACTCTATTGAGGCAGGCAGCTTGAGTGAGGAATGGTCTCAGATACTTGTTTCTCCATGATAACAAGAGTCTTACCCTAGATAAACTGGTTGGGTCGCAACACCAGAAAGTCCCAGTACCAGATCTATCTTTAGAGCTTACACATCCAGAGAACAGGCCTCACTGGCCTGTTTTGCAGTCACGCCAAGGGAGAGGGGAAAGGGAAAGTTCACTATGTTTTTTAAGTATCAGATGCACTTCCTGAACTTTTTGTAGTTTGCAGGGCTATTACCACAGAATCATAGATTCATACAACGGTTTGGGATGGAAGGAACATTAAAGATCATCTATTTTCAACCCCCTGCGGTGGGCACGGACATCTTCCACTAGACCAGGTTGCTCAAAGCCCCATCCAGCCTGGCCTTGAACACTGCCAGGAATGGGGTAGACACAGCTTACCGGGGCAACCTGTTCCAGTGCCTCACCATCCTCATACTGAAGAATTGCTTCCTAATGTCTAATAGAAATCCCCTCTGCCTGCTTAAAGCTGTTCCCCCTTATCTTGTCACTACATGCCCTTGTATAAAGTCCCTCTCCAGCTTTCTTGTAAGTACCCTTTAGGTATTGAAGACTGGTATAGGGTCTAGCTTTGCTCCTGATGAAGGGCTTCTGGCAACCAGTGGGAAAACACAAGCATCACATCCGAGGGCATGCCCTGTGGGCAGGCAGCACTGCTGCATTGCTTCCTGAGCCTTAGCACTTCCACTCCTGCCTCTTTAAGAGCTTTTAAGAGTATTCTTAACATCCAGCTTCCCAGAGATCACCAATTCAGTCTCTGCTTGCACTACCACTCACCCTTTCCCCCGCATTTAAGTCTGTGTTCTCCAATGACCAGCAGTTACTCCAAGCAGACTGTGCAAAGCAAGATATTGAAAGCCTCATCTCTGCCATCATGGATAGAGAGTGGCTTTCCATACTCCTGCAGCACAGTCAACAACAGCTATCACGTGTATCCCTCTGGGTAATTCTGTAGTGCACATGCTTAAACAACACAAACCCGAAACCAATCCCCCCTCCTAAATAAATCTCCCACCCTCCCTCTTCATAAAACCCACCCCCCAAAATATTACTTGAGATTCACTGATACGAATTATTAACCATCATGGACAAACATATTACTCTAGCTCTAGCTAGAAAAATAACATAAGAGGAGAAAAAAAAAAGCTTTGCTCACATAAACTCTCCTTATGCTGAAAAAGAGAGTGTGAATACATGCAAGTGAAAAAAGAGTGGGGACCTCTTTCAGGGAGCTAAAGCACATTTTGCCACAGTAGAGCAGGATGCAAACCAAGAGAATGGGGCTGGGAGAGAGGGAGAAAGTCCAAATTTAACTGTGTTCAGCAAACTGTTACCAGACACTACAGTGCAATGATGAGATTATACAAATACCAGAGAAAGCATGAATTAGAGAAGGATAAGCAGAGAAGGGCGGAAGAGAAAGCATATGTGCAAGTAGACTACTTTCCCCGCACAGTAATGCTTAATTTTCAGAGTGGACCAAGAGCTGAATTCCTCAACACCTGAAGTCAACATCTGTAACAAGACTGAAGAGCAATTCTTTGGACAGCTTTTCCTCATACTGGTATCATTTGAGGCCTACAACAAGGTGTAGTGGCAATGCGGAAATGGTCTGAAGAAAATACAGTCTGTATTGCCTTTCTGTTTGTGTTTTACCCTAGCTGTCACTGGGTTTATGAACTAATGATAGTTAAGGCTACAGAGAGTAGCAATCGATATTTAAGGCTACTTCCTTTTGGTAGGGTAATTTTCCTGTGCTCGTCCAATAGTACCAGTCGTGTGGACAAACTTCTGAGTGATACAAACTGGGAACTGTTAAAAGATCTCCCTTGAAGTCATACTACTGCTGCTAGTCAAATATGCTTACAGTAGCCTCCAAACATTACACATTAGAGTAATGGACAGACTGCTTATACAGTGTACAGGTCAGACTAGTTGCTAATTAATTTCCCTGTCAAATCCTGAAGCAAAACTATCGGATGCCTGGGATAGCCTTCCTGACCAACCATATTATAGTACAAGAAAAGAAAACCAAAACAAACACCCATGATAAAACTAATAAAAACATATACATTAGCATTGTAGAAGAATGATGCTTGTGCCATATTCTACGGTTTTTGGCTTTATGCTGGCTCATGGGCACTGTGAACACTGAACTGGAAACAAACAGTGGCAGAAACTAATAGCCACCAGCAACCCCTGCAAGGTTTAATTTTAAGACTGTTCTACTGAAATGATTTTTTGTATTGATGGTAATGACAAAGAACAACTTCATATGAGAAAACTGCAACTGGTGCCCAGTGGAAAGACTGAAGAGATCAGATTTCTTTGTGATGTTCTCTCACACATCATGCAGGTAAATAAACAGTAACCCATGCAGAAAACAAGTAACTTGATGGGTATAAGATACTTGAATGTTTTCATTACTAAAAAGAACTTTCTTTGAGGAGGAATCGAGCATCTCTGCTCTGGAAGATACCCAAAGCATGTTTAGAGTCATCAATCCCAGGCATCATTTTTTACTAGCAGCCAAAATGACACTCCTGCACTCTACCACTGACTAGCACACAGGGCAGAGGAAGCTCTTAGTCTAATACCTGCCTCCCTTGCACAGAGGTCACTGGCGCGAGGAACCAGCAGCAAGCTTTACCAAACACACCCACATTCTGGCTTTCCTTCGACAGTGTTGGACAAGAGCTCCCTGCCTCGCGAGGCAGGCAGCGGCAAAGAAGAGTCCGTAAAAACCCTCAAACTTGAAGACGAGTGTCAGAAATTCAGAGTCCTCACATCCGGCCGGCGGTGTGCAATGTCTCGCCCCCGAACCAGTGTTTGTTCAGTGCTCCCTGCAGACTGGATGCGGCCTGAAACAGGCAGGCGAAGCTCACCTCTGCCCAGTGTGGTTCCTGTTCACCTCTGCGTTTAAGGCCAAGTTGTGTAGGAAGAGAAAAAGCTGCCACCACACTTGATTTCTGTTCTGCTGATGCTGTAGAGGAGAACAGTTGGAGCAAGGTTATTTATATTTCTAAAATTGCAACATACCACTTCTCTTTTCCAATAACAACTCAGTTACACTTTTCAAGAGCAGACACTTTAATCCCATCAGCATAACAAGGGGGTGCAGCAAGGCATGAGGGGGGAGAGGGAAATGATAAGTTCTCCAGAAATAATTGTAGCTCTAACATTACAAAAAGAAAAGAGCAGACCCTTTATGCATTGTGCACAAGAGGATTAAACTTTTTTTTTGTGCTTGTAGGATTTTGCAGAGTTTAGCCAAGTGCTGTTTTTAATCAGATTGGCTTCTGAGCCTTTCAAAAGCCCCAGCTGCATGAACAAACAACCTTTTTTTTTAAAAAAAAAAAAGGCCCAAAAAAAAAAAAAGCCCCCCTTCACCCTGAAAGTAAAAAAAAAAAAGAAAGAAAAAAATATAACTGGTGATCCATCTGTAAGTGATTTGACACCGTGAAGGTCAAAGGGTTAATCTTCAATTTAAACCACACTGCTGAGACAGCAAAACTCTGATTTCATCTAGTACAAGAAAACACATTCGTGCACACACACACTCCCCCACCCTCCCCCCACCACATTTTCCTTCCCAGCATCTCCAAGATAATACTGCCCTTTTTATAGCCACTTTTGACAGTAAGCCATAAATAATCAGCCTTGGAGCCCTTTCCTACTGACTGGAGCCAATTAAACCTTAAGCAAGACCATACTTGAAAACACACAAAAAACCAAAACCAAGAGGTTATTTCAGGTCCCATTGTCAAGGAAGAAACATGGGAGTTGAGTTTCAGGGGGACACCAGACTCTATAACGGAGCTTTGGGGCAGGGACACTGTTCCTTCTTTTGTTATATGTAATCACCCCTGCAAAAGTGGCTCCGATTATACCCCCACGCTCCCGCAGTTTAATGGTATCTCATACAAACAGGTGGGTTTCTCTTTACATTGCCCAGCCTGGGATACTATTTCACCTCAATAACCAACCCTCTATTAGAAGTCAGTCTTTGTTTTCCCATCCAGAATTCCATATTTGCTAAGCAGGACTGATCATTTCTGGAAAACAAAACAAACCAGCCCCAATCTACCCCCTCCCCCTGCCCCAATCCCCAGCAGACAAGGAAATAGAAGACTGGCTTCCAACAACTTTGCCTCAGTACACAGGAGTTCATAAAAAAGCACTGAAGCACATTATATGAACAAGATGTTTCAACTCAGATTAGCCCAACAGGGCAGAACAACCCGGTTGCAAGGCATTCTTTATGTAATCACAAATAAGAGTGAGTTGCACCCAGAGCTGGTGTATTGGAGATGTGTCAATAGATAGCTCTTCAAAGCCCTTCCGGACAGTCATTAAATTATGTTTGTATTTCAGCGCCAGTTAAACCACAAGTACACACAAAACTGGCATCAGAAAATGTGTGTTCAGCTTGCACCTTAGCAGTGCATCATTCTTCTTACACTCAAGACTTAACATTTGTCTTCTGAATTTAGAAGAGTTCACACAGATACCATTATGCATTTCAACACCATTGTGCTTGGAGCATAACCCATGGACAGTGACTCTAAGAGCCTAGTATCATTTATTTTCAAGTAACCAGCCCTGGGTTCAGTCTGTAGTTACTGTCTAGGCAGACATTGCTAGGTTTACAGGTGAAAACAAGCTTTTATAAACTATCCCTTAGGGCTGGGTTACAAAAACCCATTTTGGACTCAAAAAGCAAGATGCTTTCTGTTTTGTTACTCGCCCCTCGGTCTGACCAGGCTTGTCTTTCCTCATCAAACTCCAAAGATTCTTCTTACCCTCCTCCATAGAGCCACATTCTCAAATCTGCTTGAACATGCACATGGGACCACAATGTCTTGATGACATCTAGATATCAAGTTTTTATCAAGCTATTACAGATTAAGTGGACTGTTCTGTTTAACTCTGTGTTAAACACAGATTTCTGGGTAGCATTCAATGAAGTGGCATGTGAGCACAATGCCTTCTTCTGCAGTCTTCTCCTGTAAGGAACTATGATAGGAAAGCATGGAGAAGCATACCATAGATGCTCTTTAGACAATCTGCTTTAGCAGATTATTTTATTCTACTGGCAGCCAAGAGGGTAAAGTGTCTTACAGGGACTTAGTATGGGAAATGACTGTGCCACACTGTCAGGAGGACAAACACATGTAAGACTCCCTGTATTAATGTCCTGCTTCATGTAGAAGGCAGCTTTGTGCTTCTCACACACCATGATAAGTTTCTAAATATTCTGTCTCCTCTTTAAGCTTTACATGTTACCTCACAAGAGAACGATTACTTGTTCTTTGCAGTGATAGGTAAAGGAAGCCACATTCAGTGAATTTTTTTTTGAAGGAGGGGGTCATTTTCAGGAAGGTACTAGGTTTTTTAACTAAGAGTTTTAAAGCTCTACTTTAGGAAAAGTTACGACCTGCAAAAGAACCAGTGGGAAGTGGTATCACAAATCCTGAGAAAAAATCCTTTTTTCTTTTTTTTTTTTAACTTTATATTCTATTGTGTTTGTTTCACTGCCTCTTGAAGCCATTATTTTTGGTACAGCATTTTTGTCCTTTTCCAGTTAAAAATGTTTCCCATTACTTGCCTAAGACACTAGGTGATCACTAAGGTGATTTCCATGCAAGAGCAGAATAGGAATTATTTTACCCTTGTTTCCCGGATCTCAAATCCCTTTATGAAGGATGCTGACACCATTAATTTTGTGAAAAAAATAGAGCACTAGGCTGAGGGCAGCTTTCCAGGTTTTATTCCTAGACCTAGGGTTTGTATTTCCATGGGTCAGTACTCAGACAGCATTTCCTTCCATGGTGGTGTAATCCCACACACACTTTCACTGGCCTGTGTACTGAAGCAGCCTGCTCACACTGTCATCTCCTATACTAGTGCAGAAAAGTGAGCTAGCACAGGACAGTGATCAAGGCCATAAGTAATCCGATAAAGAAGTTGCCTTTACTATGGATCCTAACCCATATGATCCATGGCATCATGTAGTCAAGCTGAAGCTTGTGCCAGCACAACAGAAAGGTTGTAAAGAGGTTGTAAAGAAAGAGGAGTGAGCTGGACTGCTTGTTTCAGTAGCAAGGCTAGCAAACAAGGTTTATAGAGTTATGGCTTCACTTCTGGGCTGATCTGCTTTCCATGGCTCTAATTCAGCATGGGACAAGAGCCACAGAATGGAAATGGCAGACACTCTTTGCAGTAGAGAGTAAACAATTTATGGAAAAAACTGTCCTAGCCTAAAAAATGTCCTTTTCACAACTTTCAGTAGCTTTTCCCTACACAAGCCTCTGCCAAGACCAAAATACTCAAACTTTTCAAGACTGAGGGTTTTTTGGTGTGGTATAATTTAGCTGCCAGGAAGGACAGAAAACCCAGGAGAGTGGCTCCATGAATCTGGCATCTAATTTTTTCAGATGTGATGTTTCAAGTAAATTCCTACAGATTTCTAAGACTCATAACTACTGTAACACAGGTTTATAATTTTCCTATGCTTCACTGTGATGATTTGTCTCTCATCAAAACAATCAATCCCAAGAGTCACTACTGCACAGAAGTATCGGGGATGATGAACACTTCGCCACATCCATGCAGCGGCAACACACTGATCATTTTGACACTTCTATCCCAGGATGGAAAAAAAGCCCCTTCTGCCCTCTGTACTAACTGTAACTAAAGAAGACTAGACTTGTGAGTGCAGTAAGTCAACACAAAGCTGGAAACACATAAAACCATTTCCTATTGCAGCTGCTGCTTTTTAAAGGGGATATCCTTAAGAGTCTGTCTGTCTGAGGCGTTAGCATGAATGCTTCAATGAGTCACAAGGAAAGGCCATTTTACAGGAAAAGTGTCCTCTGCAGCAATAGTACATTAGTGAAGCCTATTCCGTGAACTGCGCTGAACCAAAAGCCAGAATACTGGTAAACAAACACAAAAAGCAAAGACTTTTACTGGAAGCAAATGAAAGAGGGACATGATTGACCCAACGTTTATTCCCTCCCCATAATTAACTCCCAATACATGTTTTACATTGTAAGCATACAGATATGTATCAGTCAAATAGCACCCCAGATGTGAAAAGCCTTCTACTCCTACAAGCCCTTGCATGGGGTGATCAAGGGAAGACCAGGACAGGCAACAGACCTCAAAGAAAATGTTGTTACTCTGACACAGCTCCTTGAATCTTTGAACATAATGTTTAACAGATGAATAGGATTCACTTTTCCACCCAATACATATGTGCCATTAATATCCCTCATCATGCACAGGACGTATGTGGGTCTGGTACATTCCTATCACATATAACGAACAATGCACCTGTCTACCCTCTTGATCTTATGGGCAACTTCTGACTTTGCTTCATGGCTTCCAGATGGTTAACGGTCAAATTCCGATCCCATCTTAACTAGAAGGATTAAAATATGGCCATAAATGGCACTATTAGAGCAAAAGAAGAATAATAATGGCATACGTGTACACAAAAACATCATTCTTCCTTTAATGACTAATACAAGTATTTGCAATAAGTTGTGGGATTTTATTTATTCACTGAAAACAAAAATACTTGCACACCGGGAGCAGTTGCTGACTCATCCCTGAAGGCTGTTTTGGCTGCCAGGTGGCTGGAGGCATATTGTGCTACCACAAAATATGCTTTAGCTCAGAAAGACTAGAAAGCCACAGTCCCCAAGGCAACAGAGGTTACAGAAGGTGTCCCCCGCTGGAGAGAGAAATGCAGGCCAATGGAAGTCAAATACAAATCTTTCCAGCTGTGATTCCTAATGACCAAAGAATAATGCATGTGTAAAAGCAGCAGGGAAAAAAAAAGGAGATGGTAACAGAGAAAAACCAAAAGAGGAGCTTAGTGGCTTCCTCGTGGTGACAGAGACAAGAGGATGAGGATCTTCCTCACGGACCTGCATCCATCTGGCTTGCAAACCCCATGGCTCTCATATGTGGGAC